GCTCCGACGGCACAGAGCGTAGGACGCCCCAGACAATCAATCCCTCCGAGCCCTCACGTACCCCTCCCGCGCTCCCCCCCTCCGAGCCCTCCGAGCCCTCCGAGCCTTCTTGGGGGGCAGTCACATAAGCCGCGACTTCGTTTTCTTTATCTTTTTGCGACCCCTCCCGGAGGGCCCTTCCGACCCCTCTCGAGCCCTCCCGCCACGAAGATCCTCCCTTGTCCGACCGTCCCTCCGAGCCCACCGGCGTCCGGGGAGGGGGTTAGCCCTGTGGAGCCCTCCCGACGCCGATCCGATGGGGACCCCTCCAGCCCTGTGGGCTGGCGAGCCCTCCGGTCGGAGAGGAGTGGAAGTGGGAGGGCTCGAAGACGCTAGACGGACCTCTCTCGCTCCGGGAGGGTGGAGGGGTGGAAGGTTGGAGGGGTGGAGGGGTGGTTGAGCCCTCTAGCTCTGTCGATATAGCCCTACCCCTCCCGCCGTTTTAGGGCCTACCCACCCGCTATGGGTAAATAAACTGCCCCGATCGTGTCCTTGCTGTGTGCGGTGTGCGGGATTTGCGTTGCGTGTGTGTATGGGTGTGTATGAGTGTGTGTATCTGAGGTGAAGAACAGGAGCCAGGCTCGGACTGGGCACCAACGCGTGTGCTGCCTTTTGTGGAGCGACTTAGGCTGTATCCATGTTTCCTCGCGCACCCCGTCTCGTTTCCTTTCCGGGTTTCTCCACAGCACCCTCTCGTTTCCTCTCTAGTTTCCCGAGGAAACTCCGTTGAAATCAGCTGGTTTGGGCCCAAATCAGCCAAATCGGCAAAATACCGGGGTATTTTGCCGATTTCCTCGGTTTCGCCTCAGATTTTGCCCCAGACCAGCTCTCAGACTCAGGGAAACTCGAGAATTGCCAAATGGAGCACCATACACCATCGAGATTCCTGGAAATTTTCTCAACCAAAGCCGTGGGACCCTCTCGTTTCCTTCCTTTTTGTTTGGGGAACCAACCATGGATACATACAGACAGGCTGCCAAGGAGCGACTAGCCGGGGCAGTCGGAGAAGGGGCTACTCCGTGCACTGACGGTCGGCCGTCAGAAAACACGCCTGCGTGGATCGCTTCACACCAATCCTCGCTACCCACCTCAGACCAGTGTTGTGCGAAAGAGAAACACGCGGCCGACACGTGCTCGATTGGGTGTCGATTGGGCCAATCTGTAATGGCCGTCGGGTCAGCAAAGCCCACCATCGACCCCAAAACGGGCAGGGCAGTCGACTCGAAAGCACACCATCCTCCCCCTCCTGCTCCGGCGCTGCCATCGTCGGCGCTGCCACCGGCAGCACCAGACCAGGGTTCGGCACCAGACCAGGAATCGGCACTGCCGGCCGCGGCGAGCACTCTGCCGCCACCAGTCTCTCTGGTGCCTGCCACGCCGCAATCGCCGCCGCAGCTTTCCCCGCCCGCCGCGCCGAGCCTCCCCACCTCGCCGCCGCCGCCGCTGGTGCCGCCGCAGCCTCCCGGGCAAGACACGCCACCCACCCTCCTGCGTCCGCCGTCCGGTCCGTCGCCACCCGGGCTGCCGCCTTCGACCGATCCTGCTGCGCCCGTGCCTTCGCAGCCTCCCTCTTCTGCGCCTCGCTCGCCGCCGGACCCGCCGGCGACGCCTCTAGCTGGCGCTCCCTCGGCGCCCGCCTCGTCCCCTCCGCCTGGCGCGCCGGACCCTACCCCCGGCGAGACTGGCTCTGGCGAGGCTGGCTCTGGCGAGGCTGGCTCTGGCGAGGCTGGCTCTGGCGAGGCTGGCTCCGGTGAGCAGCCACGGGCGCCGCCGCCGCTGCCGCCGTGGCTGCCGCCGCCGCTGCCGCCGCTGCTACCGCCGCCGGCTGCGCCGACACCGGCTGCGCCGCCGCCGCTGCCGCCGCCGCCTATCACCCCAGGGTCGGGCGAAGAGCCGGGATCGGGCGAGCCGGGATCGGGCGAGGCGCCGTCCCTTTCCTCCGCCTCCGCTCGAGGCGCCAAGCCTGCCTCCGCTGCTGCTCCATCG